AAATTTTTAATGCTTTCCCGCATCTATCGTTTTCCCGCATCTATCGTTTTTATTTCCCACCCCCGCCGAAAACGATGCATCGAGGTTTCACTGTATATATTAAATGCAGGAATTATGTTCCTGGACCTGAGAAAACTTAGTGAATCACATTTATTGCAGGGGACAGGGGACATTATATTATATTACTTATAGAAATGCATTCCTAAAATTGTAATTTATTATATCCTTTCAAAATATTGTTGTTTCATTGGATTACTGGAACACTATAACATGATTTTATACAATATATAAAATGGCCATTGTAGTAATAATTATTTTTTAAAATTTACGTGCTTGCTCTTCTTTCAATGTAAGTTATGTAATATATCTGAGCTATACACGCAGTATAGTATAATGTTCTTATTTGTATTCATTTGCCATCAGATCTCATTTTATGAAGATGTGAAGAAGGAAGATTACTTTCAAATCATGTCCAATTCAGGCGTGAAGCTAAAGCGCCAGTCCTCGTACACATTTGATAATAAGAATAAATCTAAGGCCAAGGCACCGATAGTGGTTAATATGTACAGTCAAGGTGGTGGAGGTGTAGGAGATGCAGAAACTAGTTCAAGTTCATCATCACAACAGTCTACTGTCTCAGGTCCACCTCCCACCAGATTCACAAGTTCAGGTATTGGTTTGGCCAAGGAACATTCATCATGTGAAATAGACAACAGAAAACAACAGGAAGTCAGGAAGGTTTGCATTTGAACATACTACTGCATGGCTGATGTTTCGTCTCTCTAGAAAATGTATTTGCATGCTCTGTTCTTAGGCCCAGTGAGCTTTCAGTTTTTGATGAAGATTGCTGTCTTCTGGGTTGTTGCGCTTTGTAGTCTGGTAGATCTCCATCAACATTTCAGAGGTCATGCTGCCCCTGTTATCAGGGCGATGATCATCCTGATGATGGAGACAGCATGACTTCCGAAACGTTGGTTAGCATCTACCAGACTACAGAGTGCAACAACCCAGAAGACAGCAATCTTCAGACTCACCGCTGTTAAAACCTCAAATCTTATATTTTTTTTTTACTGTTTTTAGGTAGGCATATGTAAGAACTGTTGCTACAATAGATTAAAATATATTAAGTTTCATAATTAGTGGAAGTTATATAGAGTATTTTAATAGTGAAAAAACACTAAAACTTTGTTACTGTTGTTATGTTATAGCTCCAAATAACAGTGTAACCTCATAACTGCTTCAGAGTTGTTGGTTCATATGTATAATTTTCTGACATCGCTTTAAAATTTGTAGGTTTCTTTTCCAATTACATGCCTCTGTTCTCAGATACATTTGCTACAGCTTTGCGCATTAATCCACTTCAGCCGCGTTTTGCCGAGTTCTCGCTGTGAAAGCCTGGCTTCAATTTCAGGGTAGTCCGTTTTGGATCTTTGATGGACAGAATGACACTTGTATTGAATTTTTTCGATGAAGTTTATTTTACTCCTACCGTTTATCGTTTCAGTCATGTATAGCTAATCTGAGGTGTGTCACATCACTAGCCTGATCAGTCAGCGTGTTGTCATGACCTTGGCTCTCAGTTTGAGTTGCACAGTCTGGATTGGTCTATTTTTAAGGACACAGATTCAGCTAAATCTGTACTATCAATCTGACGTCTATTTTTGTTTTAATGTTAAAGCATCATGATAGAAAAACAGCTTTGCTCCGCTGTGAAAGCATTGATTGCATAATCAAAGAACGAGAGCTGTCGAAAACCAACATGGCGCGCTTGCATAGCAAAGCGTCTGGTTGCTGTTTCCACACCATGTTCATCCATTTGAGGCTGTGCTCTTCAGTCACCCACCCTCTTTTTCAAACTCTTAACAATAGTTCCTGGTAGAAATTTGTCTTTTGGAATTTTTTTTCTTCCAAAAAATACAAATAGTGGCAACTTGTGACCATCTGCAGTGATTGCCAATAATATGGTGCATCATCACTTATCTGCTCCTGTTATTCTAACGTGAACTGATCTATCACCAACATGTTCAATAGTAGTCGATTCTGACATGCCAAACCATGTTAGAGCCTGATCAGAATTTCCAATTTGAGAAAGAATGTAGCCATGTTTCTTTCTTAATGAACTCGCAGATTTCTGAAGCTTAATTACTTTTTATTCATACTCTCCAGGTAGTTTCTGAGAAATTGTCCTGTGAATTGAGAGCTGCCTATGGTTCAAGAATTGTCATTCCAACCTATAACTAGCCTTGAATTTAGTTACAGGAATGTTTAATTTTTTATGCTATTTCAGTAGCTTCCGACTGCAGCGTTTTGGTAGAAACCATTTAGCTAGACTTCAAGTCCATGACATTAGCACGGAGTTCATCTTCTGTTTGAGGGAAGGCTTTTTGCTTGTGATAAAATGCCTGCTTGCCTTTAGGTGCAATCTGTAGCTCTTATTTTAACGCCATTCCTTAATGCTCTGTTTGTTCACTTCAAATTTATGACCTGCAGGTCTTTTGCTGTGTTTCTCTCTATATTAAACAACTTGCAGTTTAAAACTTGTAGTGTAATTCAGTCTGCTGTTACCCATAGCTAGATTGTGTTTGTTACTGTAACGAACAAAATTCAACAAATCGGAAGATGTATGCAGACAAACTGGGTGTGTCAACGATTTCTGATCATGAATTTTGCATTTTTTTCTCCCCGTCAGAGAAAAGCTGCCGGCAGTCACACCACCATAATCTGACTGATTTACAATATGAGTGCATGCAGATCAGTTTGAATACAGAGTACGACATGCAACTATAAATGCTAACACTGTCTACCTTTTTTTATTTTTGTTCAGTACCTACATTTTATTTATTTCAAAGCATATTATATATGATTGCTTGATTTTTTAATTTTTCCGTGTAAACTAATGGTACATGTTACACGTGTGCATGCACGTGCACACACATACACATGAGTAAATACAGTAGCCATGTTGACAGAGTAGTGATTATTATTGTTGATTGTTTTTGAATGTAAGTTTGTCGTGACATTTTGAATTCAAGCACATTTTTTCACTTTTAAGAATTGTTAAAAAAAATTCAAGATCTAGCATTGATGCAGTTCCTTTTGAAAATGATTGTTGCCATGGAAATTTTCGTATTTCTCTTTTTTGTGGTAGTGCACTATTCCGTTTTTAATCTTAATATTTTGTTTCTCATTTTTCTTTTTATTAATCATTACTAATATATTAATTTGTTACACTTTATTTTGAAATGTATATTTAATTAAAAGTATATAAGTATGTATTTATTATTCCAGTCTATACACAAACGTAATTTTAAAATGTTGTTGTTAAAATAACTCTATAACATTTGTAATATAAATATCACAATAAGTTACTAAGTTATAAGTTATAATTATAATTATAGCGCTTTTCATCGTATTACGATGTTACATTATTCGGCGCTTATTATTAACGACATGTTTCGATGCTATTATTGCATCATCTTCAGGTTTTATCGTCTTTTTTATCTTTTATATACTCAATTTCATATACACACATCTTCATATTATTTGATGTGCCATGAAATATAGAACTGCGCCTTTGTGTGGAAAAAGTTAATAAACATAGTTACAGGGAGTGTCTTTACATAAATTGGAACATTTTAATTGGAAGCATAGTTCAGTGCAAGAAGCAGAATGCTAACCTTAAGTGACTCAACTAACATGTAAAAGAGAAATGTTGAAAATTTGTTGGGTTTTGTCATTTGCAAGTCTTGTATCTTCTATTCAGTGCGATGGAGAACCATCTGCTGTAGTCGCCAGATGTTTTGCAAGTTGCATTTCCTAGTTACCAAGCTGCATTTGATTCAGCACAGTCAGGTAAAAGAGTGACCTGGTGCTGAAGTAACCATCTTCGAAACACTGACTGTTGGGAATGGACTGTTCTAATTAATTCTCAGTCCTTACTGTGAATATCTGTTGTATCTTCCTTTGTCTATTTTACTTTCCATTATTACCACTACTCTTTAAGTTAAGTCACAGTATCACCCATAGTTAGAGATATGGAAGTAATGGAAGATGTCTTCTGGAATGTATGTTGATATGCATGCAGCGTGTTTCCTATTCACTGCTCACTCTGCGCTGAAAGCTCGTGTGATGTCTGGCGACTACTGTACTTTACATTGTTTGCAGTAACAGGAAGGACGGAATAAGGCACATTCTATACATAACATAAAAATTAGTAGGATTGGGAAAGTATTTCTATAAATGCTTTGAATTTCAACACTAGTTAGAATGAAGAATGGTGTATCTGCTTGTCCCCATTTTGAACAAGTCTTTCCGGTTTGATAATGTGATGAACATGCTCGTAGAACTTTATGCATTCATTCGTTTTCCTTTACAGTTATTATTTACAGATATGTGTAACGTGTTGAATGTTGCCATTTGGTGGTTAGCACTTGTTCATATTCAGAAGATACTGTAATTCATTCCTGTCCTGGAGGCTAACAATTCTTGCTGGTACTTCTGAGGTGTTTTTCCTAGTACTGTAAAGCAAATTCTGCATTGGCACTGTGAAATGGGTATACCTGCCTACTTTCACATCTTTTCAGATTAATTCATAGTCATCATACCAGTCACCACTACATAACCTATCCAGTTGAGAAGCTACTGTTAAATAAACTAGAAGCAAGCAAATACGTGGTGCACACAGAATACGTAATAGTCAGTCTGAAAGTTAATCTGACCTTGTCTGTATGTCTATAATATTTTTATCTCATTTCTTTATTGGGTTCTCGTAAGATTTAATTTGTGAAACCCAAAAAAATAATACAGTGACAATATGGTTTTATGCTACTTTATTTATTGATAAATATTTTATTTACTGTATATACAGCAAAATATCCATTTAATCTTAATGTTTTATTTTTTATTATTTGTTGTATTACGGTAGTTTCTCTTGTCCCTGCCGAATTATCTCAGACTTAAATTCGCTGCATTCAATTCTAACTGACCACTTTACAACCTCGGGTCTCCTTGCAGTCCTTTTGAATAAGGGTTGCCCTAGGTGACTCTCAGGGTTTGTTGAGAGGATGAGAAAGGTGATGCAGTTCAATACAGGATGATCAGCTGCAGGGTGGTGATTATGTGATGGCGCAGCATCTCCAGATTACTAAAAGGAGGACTCTCAGTATTATGTTTTAATTTAGTGTTATTTAATTTTCATTCATATGTAATGCATCACTCCTTTTAACCACACTACTCCAGTGTCTCTTTCTCTAGGCGTACTGCTCAAGAACTACAAACTCTTCTTCCTTGTCTTGTCTGTTGCCCCAAGTTAACTGGTGCAAGCTTGTTGGTTAACTGGTTATCTTTTACACAATTAGGAACAACTGTTGTGTGAGGCTTGACCCATCCCATCACTAGTGCCAACTTCTGAACTTAAAAAACTAATTAAATGTTTTTATAGTATGTGGGAAGCATTGCATTTTTAAGGCACTGGGGATCTGCCTGTGTACAGTGTTATTCTCAATTGCTTAAATCAGAGGTTCCCAAACTTTTATACCTTGCGCCCCCCCTTGAAACATTTCATAAATTTCTCGCCCCCCTTTGAGAACAAGTGCCAGCAAACAGATTTGACGTAAAATTTAGCTATGAGTATATGGCACTGTAAGACAACTAAACTGCCTCAACCAAGCAAAGGATGTTAAAAATGTTTCGCCATATTTTATTAAAGAAAGTTTTTCATACAAACAACACACCTCTCCAGAAAACCACTCGTGCCCCCCACTTTGGGAACCTCTGGCTTAAATTAATTGTGAGGGTTCATTAAACCAACTCTTCTGTTAGTCCGTGGTAAGTGAAGTGAAAATATCTGATTTTTTCATTAATATTCTTTCATGCTTTTTTTTTCTCTTTGCTCCACAGATATATTATCGTACAATTAATTTGTAACTGTAGTGGATATGAGGATTTTTGTTAATGCAGCACTGGCATATTTGAACATTAGGACATGTTGAGAGGAAATAAATTTTGATGGTTGTTGTTATTTGTCACCATGTGAATAATCATAGTTTTGTTTCACTTAAATTATATTAATGCTATGTGATCATTAGAACTGTTGGTATTGGTGGTACCTCTCCATTGTGCAGATTAGAAGTTATCAGTTGTTTGCTGACAGCATTTGTTCATGATGGTTTCTCGTGTGAAGGGAATGTCTAGTGAGTAGAATTTTTGTCTGGTCCTTATTCATTGTATACCTGACCAACTTCAACTGGGGATTTCAGTATTTTTTTATCTTTAGGAAGCAATAACATTTTATTTCAGAATATATATGTATATGGATGTTGTGAGCAAGTTTGAAATATTGTGGATTTTGTTTCTTAGGGTGATGAAGTGGGCTCTCTGCTATTACCATGGCAGCAACTGTTGATGATGCCTCCTCAGCACATGCTTGTCATTGAGAGGATGCACTCGGGTGCAAGGAGGTTTGTTGTCCTTGATTTCGGGAGCCCAATTTTGCTAACTGATCTCATGATACCCTCGTGTTCTGACCTTGTGTCTCTGTCCATCGATATCTGGTGTCAAGGTGAAGAAACAGATGGTCAGAGGCTAGTTGTAGCGTCTGACATTGGAACGAAGTCCCTGGTTATGAGTGATCTGCAACCACCACCAATATGCAGATACCTCAAGGTATGTTGTAACATAAGAGAGAATTTTCTTTTTTGAAGTTGAGTAATCATTGTAGCTCAATGTTTGTTTTCCTGATTTGTGTGTTTCTATAAATATTCAATTAAACACTGACACTTAATAACCAGAAACTATACAGCAATTATAAATACAGCTGAGACCTCATTAGTTGAAAATGTTCTTGACTGAAAAACACAAATCTTCAATTTTCATCACAGAGATTATCTGCTGGTTGTAGTAATTGAAGCTAATGATAGTAATGCTGGAATAGGCTTATAATAAACACTATTCTGTGAATAAAATGGGAGGAATGTAATTTTTTTTTTGCACGTATTGTAATTAAAATCAGAGTTGCTATGCCTAAAAGTTAAATTACATTGATATTCAAATTTCTTCTTCAGTTATCATTCCCATATTTCTTTAAATTTAGTCAGAAGCAGTCATAGTAGGCCACAGAAAAGCTGAGAACTTCTATTAAAGTTTTACTGGTAGAACCTACAGTCCTGGTCTCCTGTTAGAAATAAAAAAAATAATTCAATTCACTATGACGTAGAGGGCTTATTTGTTACTTCACATGAACTTTTCGCTGGATTTAAAATTGTCATCGTCAAATAGTACATATTCTCAGATGGGCTGTCACTGACTTTGAATTTAATGGTATTTTGAGCTATTTGACAAGGGTTTACTGTAAATGTCAGGTCTCGTCTAAAGAATTTTTCAGAAGCTGCAATTTTGTATGTGATGTAGAAAGCCGGAAATTACCCATATGTTTGCTTTGAGTTGTTCATTTTAAATGTAACCTCCATAGTTTAGTTCAAGGAAACTTATTTTTAAGCCTAATATGGCTTTTGTATGTATGAATGTATTTTATTGCAGTTTGTGCAGATTTGTAACCAAATAAGTGGGGTTGAGATATCAGTCTAAGTCAGAGTGCCCACTCATATTTCCATGAACCGATTTACTTTCGTAGTGATTTGAGGTTCTCACAACAATGAAGGTGTGACATTATGCGGTCTTGTAGGTGTTTAAGATTTTAAAGAAATGTTTCACTTCCATCTTCAGAGTGAAATCACTTCATCCTGAAGATGGAACTGTTAAAATACATAAGGTTTACATTTTGCTCCCCACTTTCCACAGCCAACTATCTTCTTCTGTGTGTTAAGACAGGATCAAATTTGTATGTCTTTAGATCACGACCATCGGAAGATACGGAATGAGTACTACAAGATGTAAGATTCCAATAGGTTCTTTCTATGGACACATAGTTATTCTACCTGGCGAATGTTATCCGGAGACAAGTGAAGTTCAAGGCTTCTCAGAAAACAATATCCAAGTAAGTTTGTTGGTTGTTGATATATTTTGTGTTAGCAGAGCGAAGAATTTGCGCAGTGTGACTCAGACTGGTGTAATGGTAATGGAAGCAAATTGTGGAGTGGAATATTGAAGGGTCCATAGTAGTCGAATAAAATTAAATGGAATGCATTGTTTTAATTTGGTATATACACAAATTTGTAAATAGAACCATACAATTTTCTGTCTATGTGAGATTTGCGTCACCGGTGCCGGACTGCATCATTTCCTGCGATAAAAAGAATGTAAGAAATACTCTCATTTTATACATACATTTTTGTGAACCTGGAAAAGACCTGTTTTCTAAATGGTTACCAAATTACTTGGCAGTTCATAGAAATTTACAGGTTTTACACAGTACTATTCATGATTAATCAGGACATAAAGGTAGCGATGATAATAAGTCTGCTTGCAATTGAGATGATAGTGTACCCAGTTTCTCTTTTAGATTTGGCATCCTGCATCAAGGAAACTATGTTTTGGACTTTAAACTTATATTCTTTTACGTCAGTCGTAAACCATATGTTTTATATCCATGATCATCTCGGCTGTTGCTCCGTGTCTTGGTACTCTGAAAAATTATCCCGTAAAAGTGTTCATAAATCTGCAGTGTGCACCACTTCAGCATAGCACATTTAGTGCATCCTGGTATTAATTTAATAATTATTTCAGGCTCAATTGTCTGTGCTGTCAGCATTGTTTGAAGACATTCACTGTCGCTATAGTTTAGCTTGTGCCAAACTCCAAGAGTTCCTTACTCCTTTGCTGACTTCAGAAATTCCTAATGTAGTTCACATGCACCATTATCTTCAGAGAGGAAGAGACATAGAGAAGTACTTTCCTAGCCCTGAGGGACAAAAAATTTTGACAGCATATCAGGTAAGTCTAATAAGCATTTAAATTTATGGTACTAACCCTTTCAGAAAAGACTTGTAGTGGGCAGTACGTTTTGAACTGACTTATCGTAATTAAGATTTTTGCCTAAGATTAAACAAATTTAGGTCATGCAGTGAAATATGAATGTACAGGAAATGTCTGTCACCTTACCAAGTTTATGGACTGGATTTTTTAAAATTCATGCTTTTCCTCAGTCTTTCCAGGCAAAGGCCAGGGTAGTAACTTAAATTAAGCTACAATTGCTTCTTTCCATATTCTTTGTTCATTAATCATCCGATCATTTTTCACTAGTTTTGCTACTGAAACCACTAATAAACCACAACAAATAGATAAGAATTCAGTGTCTCATACCATTTAAGTCATGATAAGGAGTCAGGCAGTGTATATACAGGCTTGTCCCTTATTTCAGTGCCATAGTCTGGTAACATGTGAAGACTAGGACAAATTTTTGTTCTGTGTTTGGTATTAATTCTCGGAATAAGTTGATCCCTTTGTTTTTCATTACACCCAAGAGAGATGAAGTAATGTGTTGGTAACGGAGGACATTGCGTAATGATGAAGACTTTTTAATTACATGAAGGCTTGATGTATGGGACTTAGCTTGGGTAAGGGAAACAAGAAATACATACAAAATTTTCAGAGGCAAAATGATTTTGAAAGGAATCTAAGAAAGAGAAGCATGACCTTGAAGATGACTGCAAGAACTCTGTGTTCATGATAAGCTAGCAAACTCCTCTTTCAGTTCACATAAATATTTGCACTTAAGGTACTGTTATATGTTTCCAGGAATGTGTGACATTTCAGCATCAGTTAAATTTAGTTCGTAATGTCATGCGACGACTTGAGTCTGCACAAGGCAAAGTGCATTCTCTTCCGGACATAAAAGGCACTCCGAGAATGCTGTCTGAAGCTTGTACAGACAAGTTACGAGTTCTTGGAGAAGGCCTTCTTGATCTGTTGTTGTATTTGGTCTATGAGATTGGACCAGTGCCCAGGGTAAGTAAAAACCTTTTCATCAGCGTGAATTAATGAGAGACTTGCTAATGGCGAGTTTTACTAGTTCTGTCAAAACTGAATTGAAGTCTCAGTCCCTGAAATTACTTTGGCACTTAACTATTTGTTCTCTTCTGCATGTTTTGTTGAAGCTGAACCCGTCTTGTTTACATCATGGTACTTGTCAGTTTGATTCTCATTCATTTTTACATTTTGGCAATACTTTCTTTGATTTCAGTTGAAGTAATTTAATTTGTAATGATTCTAATAGGGTCTTGAAATAATTCCTTTATTACATGCAGCTGTAAGCTCTCAAATGTAGAGGTACTATGTTTATTGTAAGGCATAAATAACTGGCTAAGTGAGTGTCATAGTTTTATGGGGGGAAAAAATTGTTCTTTACCCCTTTTAGCCAATATTAAATGCGGACTCAGAATTAGGACGCAGCCAGAATTGTTTCAGACCGCATGGATATCAAGAAAAAATCTTCCTCATTGTTTGTTGTGGAGACATTAACCAAATATCACATCAAATTGTAAAATCATGTAACCTGTATATGAAAATTATAATTGTCTCATGCAGTGTGTGTCGTGTTTCCTAAGTAATTACTAATGATGTAACATGCCTACGTATGGGAGTGTGTCTTCTATAGGTCATATTGTTCGTTCGATATATTTCTATAACAGTGTTGTAACTCTTGCGTGTTTCTTTAATCTGACATGTCTTCCGTCCATCTTAGTTGTACCTAAAGGATGCGTTCTACATGCACAGTTTTTTTTTTTTATTTGTAGTGTTCTGTCTGATGACAGGTCCATATGAACAGGATCCTTCCTTCCTTTTCTCGGACTGGGACCTGTTCTTGGCAGATGATCCAGAAGTGGTTTGGCATTGCCTTCTTCTGTGTGTGAATGGGGTAATTGTTGGGATGCCACGGAGAAACCGGGGAAGCCCCCGGAGGAAAACTCCGTGTTGCCTAGACCACGGCCTTGCCCAACACAAGTTATAAATTCGGGCACCGCCGGGAATCGAACCCGAGACCCCAGGATTACAAGGCCAGCGTTCTAACCGCTAGACCACCGTGGCTTGTGTAGTAATATTAACGCTAAATCCGAAATACAGTAAACTTTTTTTGTGTGTGTGTTCGTCAGAATGAAATATTCTGTTGTCCAGTAATTGTCAAAAGAAACATACTGCTTATGTAAGTGTGTTTTGCAACACATTTTCATGCTATTATTTTTTAATGTAGTTGTGATAACATATAATATTGTTTGTTTTGCAGTTACCATTGGCATTGTATGAGTCATTTGATCAAGGTATGTGTGAACATTTGTTCCATTGCCTTTGTGTGAAAGAAGACACTCGAATGCAGTTGTCAGCATGCACGTTACTTGTGAGGATGTGTGGACTTCAGCCGTGGTGGGGCGATTTCTTGGCGAACACTATCACCAGACTGTACAGCTCACAGAATACATCCATTTTCCCACAAGATAGGTATATATGAATAATAATCTCTAATCATATTCTCTTCTTACATTGAAACCTTCATTTAAATCTTTTTTCCAGTAACGTAGTATCCATGACTTGCAATAGGTTTTTGTCTGCTTCATATTCGTCTTAATGAATGTGATCATTAGGTTTGGAATGCTCAAATAGAGCTCATTTACTATATTTCTAGTTCTTTTCTCTCTATTCTCTCACCTCAGCCTATAATTTTCTGTGCTAATGAAAAGCTTCGTTAGTTAAGAGCTTTGAAGTGAGACAACATTTGAAGAAAGGAAAAGGCTATAGTACACAGGTTACTTGTCATACTGCTCTTCTTCATATGCATGAATCTCAGCAGTGCTGTGTAAATATGGTTTATTCTTTAATCTGTTTATAGTTTAAATGCGTCATGTTTGTGTTTTAAATTCAAATATATAATATAATTCAAGTCTATACACAAACTTTAAATTGTTGATGTTAAAATTTAAAATTAATATTTGCATTGAAAATATAGAGTAGTTTTAAAGATAAGAAAACCCTGAAGATGATGCTATGCATTGAAACATGTAGTAGTATAAAGCGCAATACTGTAACATCGTAATAACGATGAATAGCGCAAAATATCAATATTAATTTTAAATTTTAACATCAACAATTTAAAGTTTGTGTATAGACTTGAATTATATTATATATTTGTCTTTAAGCTGTGTTATATTCCTGGACGACAGCATTTGGCATTATGTGAGATTTCAGGTTTTCATGGTTTCAAGTATGAAGATGACTTGTTTTCTGGGATGTTGCACCATGTGGTCTGGTTGAAGTTTACCAGTGTTTCAGAGGTGCTTGCTGCCTCCATCATCAGGGCAATGAGTAAGCTGTGCACAAGGAATTGGTTTGACATGTAGAGTGAGGATTGGTTGAGAGCAAGGTGTTCACTGATCTCCCTCTTGGTTCATGATGGATCCTAATAAGGGCTGTTTCCTCCCTCCTGTGCATGTCTGGCATATACCCGTCTCCCCTTCTTCCAGCCAGGCTGCCTTTAACCACATGCTCCCTTGGTCATACCTTATCCTCACCCTCTTCTCTACTAGTCTAGTCTCGCCAAGGTTTGACTGTGTCCTGCCAGTTCCCATATCTCTAACCATTTTCTCCCTTGCAGCTTACTAATTTCCCTGACAGTGGAAGCAGCTGGCACCTCTGAAACATCTGTAAACTTCTGTCAGACTACACAGCGCAACACTCCAGAAGACAATCTGTCCTTAACATTTTCAATTGTGTTGAGTCAGCAATAAGAGTTTGTTAACGTACTTGGGGAGGAAGTCCCTAGGTGGTGGTGCTACACGATGCTCAGTTTTGGATAGTGTACTGGGAACTCTCACCAGACTTCTCTCTCCTCTCACAACTCATCAAGCTGGATTTTTGCGCGCTGAAATGGATTTGTCCCTCATTGGCTGGATCCTGCTTTTTCTCTCAGTTTGTCTTGATACTAATGGTACATCTGGTTGCTCTGAGGAAATTGCTGATAAATCTAAGGACAGAGACCAAGGTGAAGTAGTATTAATTTAAACATTTTATTGACTTCAGTTTTGTTTTGGTGTAAGAATCAACAGATACTAGATGGTAGGTACTAGCTTTATTGTTTGTGCATTTTTTTATATACACACTTTTAATCAGGCAGTGTATGGAAGTATAGTTTCATTAAATTAAATACGTTGGATTGGACATTTATTGTGAAATGGAGCACGTGACAAAATAAAGTTTACAAAGAAAGATAAGTTGAGTATGGAGGAATTTCTGTTTAACATTTTTTGGCATTGGCATAGGTTTACTATCCAAAGTTCCAGTAAAAACTCAACAAATTTTAGCCTTCATGCAGCAAGTGTTTTAACTTATGAAACACACAACTTGATGGAGAGGCATTCATATCATTTTCATTCAGTGCTCAAGAAATAGTTTCCCACGCTACATGGTCTTTTAATGGTGACTGATGGTGAATAGAAAAGTATTTATACTAGTACTGTCTGACTGTGCACAAGTGGATTTTTTCAAGTGGCTAGTAGATGTGTGTTATATTTCTGGAGCCATGTCTGCTATGTGTGTTTACTTTATACACTGAATTACAAAACACATAAATCCACGTACGAGTCTGACTTGCGAGTCTGGCTTGGATATATTTCACCACACATGCATAGCAGACTCGGCTCATGACACCCCACCCACAAACGAGTTTGGCTCAATGGAACTCGAGCCGAGCCGGACTCGCAAGCCAGACTCGTACGTGGATGGGCCGCTTAAGGGGAGCAGATACTGAAACAAGGGATTCTAACCACATTGACAGAAAACAATACTGTTTACAAAGTTTTGTTCACAGGGTCACCTTTCGTATTAAGAGGTTGATGTGGATTATAAAGACTGAAGCTTAATGTTGCTTGACATATATTTCTTTAATGTCCAGGTACTGCTTCACGTTGGGATTTTATCCAAGGAGAAGTCGCAATGCAGCGACGAATGGCCACCACAAGTCGCTGCAATGCTTCTAGAAGTTACAGGCGCAAATTGCAGAAGCGTCTCATGCATCATAAGCAGCAACTTGAAGATCTTGAAGCAGCAAAGAAAGCATTCCATGCATCAACGCAGGTATAGTGGTCATTCAAATCTGTTACCTTTGCATTGCTCAGATCAAAACAGAAGAAAGAAAAGGAATTCAGAAGAGGCCTTAAAAAAGTTTGTTCTGTAAGTGAAAACGTGAAAAAATCTTGCGCTTTACTTTGGCGCACTTCAAAAAATGGAACTAGCCTACAAATACTGATCTTATGGAAGTAGTATTTAGAAATTCATAAATTTGCTTTGTGTTGTGCAGGACTCTTGTTTAACCTTTAATTACCATGCCCTGTTTTTTATGTAAGAATTCTCTTTCTTCTGGAAGGCATTGTCAGCACTCTCAAGTCAAGCAGCAAACTTATCCAGCAAGTTAGAAGCTGCTTTGAAACAGCAAGAACAGTTCTTTAAGAAAACATTGAAACAACACTCAGCCAAAGTGAGTAAGATGAATTACGCATAATTTAGGTTTCTGTCTGATTAAATATTGCAAACAAAATTGTTCTGTTTTTCCATTACAGCATTTTAAGGATATTCTTCAAATACGTCGGAATGATGGTCCGACACTACTCAACAAACATGGTTTACCTGTTCCAAGGACATCTAGCACAACGTCTAGGGAGAGAGATGAGAGCGAAACGGAGCGTGACCTGAACTTGTGTCTCCCGCAGTCACATTGCCTACCTGTAGCAAAAGGACTTGTATCACTTATTCTGCAGATGGACTTCACTTGCAATATAGATATGTTCTTACTGGCATGTAAAGTTGTAGCTCGCATTGTTGTATCGACGAGACCAGCTATTACACTTGGTGAGTTAATGACACAAGATCAGTTACTTCATTTGGTGAGACTAGCCGTGTGGAATGATCAGCATAAAGCTTCATGGGGTGGCCCATGGTCTTCTCATGCCATCTGCTGCCTGCTGCAAGATATTCTGGAAGGAGTGAGAATGTATCCTAATCTGTGCAGCCAAGAAGGAAGTCCTGCAGAAGACGTCTCAGATCCTGCAGTAGCCACACCTGTTACTATGACAGAACCTGAAGAGCCTGTGTCTGAACCTAGCACAAGCAACAATATTCAGGAAGGGGAAGAGGATTTTAATGTTGAAGATACTACTGACGCTTCTACACCAGGTAAATTATGTAATGGTACATAAGTCATGTAGGCTTTTTTGTGCTATTCACTGATTCACCTTTGAACTCTTTAACTAGTGAAGTTCCATATACAAGAAAATCTGTGGAAACATCACTGAATTATCTATGTAAAGTTGGCCGCATTTGGCACTGTTTTACTGCATCAGTCAGAGTGGCAGAATGGCTGTACAGCGAAACCTCGATGCATCGTTTTCGGCGGGGGTGGGAAATAAAAACGATGAATACGGGAAAACGATAGATGCGGGAAAGCATTAAAAATTTAAAAAAAAAAA